CTCGGCCCGTACCAAGCCGGAGAGAGGGGATTAAAGGGTAACCAAAATGGCCGGTGGCAGCCGGAGTGGGGGGACCCCGGTGCTTGGGGAGTCTGCCCGGGAAACTGCACTGGCCAGCTGCCGACCGTAGCCTTGCTTAGGTACCACTAGGTTCTGTCTCCTCTTGCAACCGAAAGGAGCGTCCTTGAACACCGCTCGGTAGATATTCCAGCTGAAGTGGTCCTCAGTGAAACCATGAGCTTTGCATCGCCATCGTTAGGTTTCAGAATCAAGTTGACCATTGAGGTAGGGCATCCCCGGCCAATCTTTTTTGCTTCCTGAAAAGCAAATAAATACTTTTACATGGTAACTCTCATTTAAAAGGTTAGTTTGCAGGAAATAGGGCTAAAACCATACTTTTTGACTACCAAAAATCCACACAAGCTTGAGCTAGGGCATTGGCGAATCGTCCTACAGTGGTAGATGGAATTTGTATCAAATTACTTTGCCACAGAAATGCAAAGCTCTCCGGAAACCTGGATCAAAATCCTCATCTCACACAATCTCCTTTCTAGATAACTCAATTTCGGGAAAGTGAGAAAGGAGGGAAGGTTAACCCGGTCTCAGGAGAAAGCCCTCTTACTTCAGAGGGCCCCGCAGCAACGCCCGGTGACCTCCCATCTGCGGGCTAGACTCCCTCAGCGTCTCCCACTGTGTGTCACGGTTTTCAGCGGGAATATTCGCAGACTTTGAGGGAGGTTTCCTCCTGACCGAGACGTCAGGCAGCGCAAGAGTTAAGCGAACGTACACAGCAGCTGCTGGCTGAAATCTCCCCGCGAGGGTAGGAGCAGGCGCAGCGTGGAGCTGCGCGCAGGCGGAGCTGGGACAACCTTTGGACCTCGGCACCCAGACGTAACAGGGGCCCGCGACGTAAAGATCAGGAAATTGTTCACTGTTGATTCCTCGCGAAGCGGTAAGATAAGCAGAAACGCTGTTAGAAAGAAACCCATCCAGATTAATCCTTTTGTTACCACCCAAATAATCGGTTTTCTTCCACAGATAAGTTAGTGGGAGGAATTTACTCTGGGTAACTTAGGCTATTAACTTGAATTTAAAATAGAGCTAGGAAAATTTGCTGTCGTTTGGGTAAGTCTGGTGATGCAGCAGTGCCAGTCCACAAATCTGAAGGTAGTGAGTCAAGCTCCACAAAAGTAGTAGGGCTAGCCTAGAAAAACGGTGACACTGACATGAATACTTATACGCCGTTCTTTTATTTGCCTGTTTGTCCCAACCTAGGAGTTGTGCTTTCAAAGTTTTCCCTTGCAATGCTTAAGGACCTGCATATACATACCTTATTTCAATATAGATCATTATGTATGCATCCATAAATGAAAGCAGACAGTCTTATGTAAATAGAAAATGTGAGGCGTCACAGGCTTTAAGAAGAATTAAGAGAGTTCGCGATACTGCAGATGACACTAGTCCAAAACCAAAACTGTCATATCCTTAACAGGTATTACATTTAACATACTGAACAGGACATCTGATATCTGAGCAGTTATGTTCAGGGGCAGAACATATGGTCTATTAAAATCTCTTCACTTGATGGATGGCCAGCCAAGTTTGGCTTATAAATTTCATCCAGCTATTACTTCTCATGTACATCCCTGTCAAAAGAGGAGTGTGGATTACAGACAGAGCTACAAGACAGGCCCAAGTAGTGCTGGAGGAAGAACACTCAATGCTCCTCTAACTAAGGTTAGTATCTGGAGAGACCCCTGCCCTGCACAAGATTCCTTTAAGTGTTTTTAGTTTACTGCTATCTATCTATATATATATATTTTTTTTTTTTAATTTCTCATTGTACTTAGTACTAAAAGAAACCCAGCCTTTGAACCAAAACCACAGTGTTTGAATGGTTCACACGCACATCAAACGTGGCTGAAATTGTGGCACATTCAGCACGTCTACCGTACTGAGAAGATGGTTTGTATGAGACTAGCCTGTTTTTAATGTATGAGCTGGTTAGTTTAAAGCTAAATCAGCCTTCACTGTGTTGCGCACTAGCTCCCCCATGAATCACCTTTTTGTTTGCAAAGTTCAGGAACTGCTTCTGAAATAAATGCGTGTTTGACTCTGACCTTCATGAGCAGTGTGTTGTAATGAAGGAGAAACTCGTGACAAAAGCAAATGATGTAATACAGTACTGCCTCCCTGGCATCTGCCAGTCAAGTGATCATATCTGGTGCTCGGTTCAGTTGGTACCCAGTCTAAATAAATTGCTGCAATATCGTCAGGTTCTGCTCATCAAGAAGTTGGACAGTGCTGCTGCAGTGTGTCATTAGCTCTTACATTTTATTCTACAGACAGTTAATTCTGGAGGATGAATTTGATTTATCCTTAAAAGGTCATATTGCATGATACTTTACAAAACACTGACTGCATGTGGGGAAATTTGCATATTTTTTCCAGCCATGTGGGGCTGGCAGAGTTCAAAATATGTCATCTGGGAAGAAATAATTAGATAGGTATTTTTCTGAAGTAGGGTATTCGGAATGAATAATGCAATATTCAGAACTGTTCAGAACCAGTTGCTGTTAATGGATAAATTGTTCATGGTGAGCTGCAGACACGCCGGTCAAGGCCCAGTCTTAACACTTAGACCCCTTCTAGCCAGTGTCCAGTAGCAGACTCGAACTGAGGCAGAAATACAGATCAAGGCCAGTATAAAGCAATAAATAAAGCAATATGACTAGCGCCGAGGTTGTAATCGTTGAAGTGATGCAGGTGAGGTAAGACTGGGTTTGCTCAGGACAAGGGGAAACACAGCTCGACAGAAACTTCTACTCTACGTTGACACCTTTTTGTTATTCGTAGTGTCTGAATGTCTGATTAATCTCTGAAGATTTGTGTGAGAAGACTGGGGCAGCAAGAAGTTTCTGCCTAGCACTGTGTGCCCAGAATTGATCAGAGTGCTGCTGCAGAATATAAGTTCTGATTCATATAGTCGTATGGCAGGTTCCCAGGACCCAGATCTAGGACACAGTATGTGACAGTCACTTAAAGTAAGTGGAATACAGCAAAGAGAACCATAGGAAATTAGACAAGAATGGTGTTAAACATGTGGTTCATCTTCAACTATTATTTTTGCCAATAAGGGCTGCAGATTTTCGCCTCTAGTTAGGTGCGTGGCTATTTGTGGAGTCCCTGTTTTAGTGCAGGGTGCGATTTATTTGCGTGGGCTTTTGCAGCCAGAGCTGGGCTCAGAACTGCCTGGGCATGCAAAAGCTCTAGTCTGAAGGACTGTGTTGTCAGTGGGACTTACACTGGCATCTCTAGCACTCTTTCACCACTGTTTCGGCATATAGGTGCTGTAAAAGTACTGTTTCAGTGCTTTTAATGCTAAACTGGGGGGAGGTAAGTTCAGGCGCAGATCTTAATGTTTGAAACACTGAAGACAACCAGTGCAGCAGTTGTCTGAGGATGGCCCTTCAACATGTAAGTTAGACCTAAACCATTCCAGACGGCTGTTTGTCAGACCTCTTTGATCCCCAGTGCCTCCCTAGACTACCTGCTGCTTCCCCAACCATAATCCATAGTCAAGAAATTTTAGGTAACTTTCTAGCAACCTCTGTTATGTCATACCACTGTTTATATTTAAACAGTAGTTGTGGATAAGATTGAGAACCTACCAGATCTGTATGAAATCAGTATGGATTCAGGACTACAATGAAACTAACTTGACAACTACACTTTGTAGGACTTGCACTGGATTGTTATTTAATGGGATGGATATTCCTTGGTGCTAGAGCCTGATCCAGCACTTACTGAAGATACTGGCAAGATTTGTAGTGGAAGATCACACTAGTACAAAGTGACCGTGGTTTTATTCTGCATCATCAAAAGCAGTATTGAGATCCATTCGTTTCCAGTTTTACAGATGTGAATTTAAACGATTATTACAGCATCATTCTTTTAAGGATGTTCTAAACAAGGCGGTATTTCTCTTACTCCTTTATTGCAGGTCATGGCAGAAAAAGAGTTGCCGGGTGTTTTGATTCTGGATATAGGAGGAACTCATGGCGTGCTAGAAGACCTTGTAGCACTTCTGAAGAAACATTTTTGCCTTATCACCATGAAGGAGTTTCTTGAAAACAAAAAAGAAATGGGAAAAAAAATCCAATCTATTTTCGTGTTTGAGTGCAGGCCAACTATTGACCAAGAGCTCCTGGAAAGCCTGCCTAATTTAAAGGTAATTGCAAACTCCGGGGTTGGAGTGGATCACTTAGACTTGAGAATGATTTCTAACTTTGGTGTAAAAGTGACCAACACCCCGCATGCCGTTGCTGACTCAACAGCAGACATAGGAATGGCCTTGATGCTGGCATCTGCCAGAAGACTAGTGGAAGGTAACGTTTTAAATTTTCCTGGGTCTTAGCTACGTCTTTGGCATATCTTGCTTTTACTCTGTTACAGGTGATCTGTCTGAATCAATCTTTGGGACGCTTTTGCAGGAAAGAGAGTTCTGAGGACTCAGAATTCTCGGAGGGTTCTGCTTTTCCTGTACTTTTTCATGTTCCTCACTTATTTTCAAGGCAGTGGTGACAACAGTCAGGCCTTTGTCTAGATTAAGCATTTGAAAATCACCTATGATAGCCCATTTGAAATAATGTCTGGGGCTTAATTCTCCACTGGCTACCTGCTGGGCAAGTTTTTTATAGTTGTGTAAAAAGATTAACTCTTCATTCTTTCCTGCTTCCAAAAAGAGTTCATCTAAATTAATGGGCTTTATTTTCAGAATACCACCAACATTATTATTTAAATAGTTGATGATCTTTTTGACAAAGTTCATCCAACTGTACTACTGGCATTAGTTTGTGCACTCACAGGTAGATCCTTTCCCCACATACATGCCCTTGCTACGCAGTGCCCTTCAGGGGAAGGAAGGTGTCAGTAGAGCCTGTCACAAGAAATTGCCTCTCTCTCCAGGGTCTCACAGCATTTCTGTCACCGCTGCTCCATCCCTGAGCATAAAGTAGCTCCTCTTTCCCCTTGATGTTTTCCTACTGTTGCACCTCTCTGGACCTCAAGTTATAAAAACTCATAGAGACCTCTGGCAGAGCTGGAATCTGCAATGTACCACAGCACAACATCGCTTGGGTGGCTTTTTCCTTCACCCCCACTCAATTAGTCGTAGTGCTTTGGGCTGGTCCTTGAGATAGATGATGAGATTTACCCCAGCTAAAAACAGTGAGGTCAGTGTCACCAATATCTGATGGTAAATGTCAAACAATCTATTTTCAAACTTCAAAGGGATTATTACAGTTATGGAAGAATTAATTTCCTGAGGTGCTATTCCTCACAGAAAAATATAAATTTTGAAAAACTCTTCTGGGTCACTGACTTCCGTCCTGGCTATTGCAGGGAATAGCACCATCTAAACCCTCTGATCTGACCAAAATTCCTCTCAAAATTGGTTAAGATATTTTGTAAGGGGTGTCCCAGAACCCTACTGCTATTAGAGTTAGAAACTTTTTTTTTTCATGATTTCTAACCTTAAGTTTATAGTCGGATTGCACCCGTTTAGCATGTTTTTACATTCAGGCTGCCAGATTGCAATTTCTCCAGACACAAAGTATTTTGCTGTTGACTGGCTGGGAGTTGAAGTTACCAGGGCTACTCTTGGGATCATCGGAATGGGCAATATTGGTTATAAAGTGGCTCAGAGGGCCAAAGCCTTTGAAATGAAGATTCTCTACCACAACAGGAACCAGAGGTAAAAGTGTTTCCTTACTATGTGTAATTACTCAGGGTGCAGCGTCCTTACCCTCCTATACTCAGTATCACTTACTTGCTTTGCTTGCGCATTTGCATGACTCAGTCAGCATCCCACCAGTCCTCTAGCCTCTTGCTCCCTCTGTCCCACATCTTTCCCCTCCTCCCTTCCACCATCTGTACCTATGTATGATTTTCTCTTGGCCACAAATCTCTTGATCTCTGTACTGTTCAAGATCTCTCTCAGGGTTAACTGATTATTTAAGCAGCTGTGCCAATTTGAGTGTGCGGTTTTCCCTCAGAAAAAAGGAAGAGGAACAGGCAGTTGGTGCCCATTACTGTGAGAAGATGGAAGACTTGCTACAGCAATCTGACTTTGTTATGCTGGTTGTGAACTTGACTCCCAAGACTCACAAGCTGATTGGGAAAAGGGAATTGGGGCTGATGAAACCCACAGCTACTCTTATAAACATCAGCCGAGGTAGGATGGTCTGAAGGCACTGGTTGTGGCTCAACAGTTAAGGTTGTGTTTTGTCTGTTTGTGCTGACATTTCCCCCTCTCACTTCAGACTGAGCCTTTCTCCATGTATTGCCTGAGTCACAGAGTAGATGGCGCTCTGCACATTGATGATGTATTAGAAGATCAGATGCCATGTGTTTGAACGCAAGGTCCTGTGGACCTCCAGCAGAATTTGGAGGTGCTCAGCAGGTGCTCTGCATCTCTTTAGCCTTATCCTAAAGACAACTTTCTTTAGTGGAAATAACCTTATTATCATGAAATAGTTGACGTCATCGATGATGAACAGGGAACAAGGAGAAACACAAGCCTCAAGTGGAACATCTATCTGGAAAAGAACCCTCAGAGGAGATTACAGATCTGTTGATGCCAAATGAGCATATAAGAGCAGGCCTAAAGAGATTATAGTTTCAGGAGACAAAGCAGAGATAAGAAAGTGAAAAAGCTCAAAGAGCTTTGAAATGATTTGTCTATAATAATATGGGAAATCAGCGTCAAAATGAGGAACAGACTTAAATCTCTCACATCCCGTGAAATGCTCTGTGCACTGGGCCGTGATCGTCCTCTAATTAAACATTAATAAATAAAATGTCTCTTTAGTTTGTTTGGTTAACAGTTACTAGAGGGCCATTTTATCTTCTAACAAGATGAGAATTCTTTCTTGCTAGAGCTTTGAGACCTTTCTCCACCCACGAAGTTAAAAATGTGTGTGTTAACTTGTGATGATAGCAAGAAATTATGATTTAAATGCAGGTGCAGTTGTTGATCAAGATGCATTGGTAGAAGCTCTCCAGAATAAGATTATTATGGCTGCTGCTCTAGATGTGACATACCCTGAGCCTCTGCCAAGGTAGCGGAACCTGTTTTCCTTTCAATTAATCTGAAATGATTTAAACTGTCCGTAAAATTCTGCTCGTCATCTCTATCTCTATGAGGAGTCCCTCTCACTCTTTAAGGGCAAAACCTCAACCTTTCTTGCCCAAACATAGATAAATGGCAAAGAGTCCCCCTTTCCCAGCAATCTGGCAGCCTGGCTGACAGGCAAGGCAACAAGACCTATACAGAGAAAGAGGAAATGGGTGAGTTTCCCACAGCTTTCTGCAAATTCTGTGCCTGTGGCCCCTTTTACCTCAGGACGCGGTTGCTGTTTCCTGAGATTCAGTTCTTTCCAACTAGCATGTGCTAGCAGCAGCCTAAATGCCCTATGTAACATATTCTGTTCTTTTTGTTTCTTACAGAGACCATCCTTTATTAAAATTAAATAACATCATCATAGCCCCTCACATTGGAACTGCAACAGTCCAGGCCATCCGTATGATGGCAGAGGAAGCAATAGCAAATATGCTGGCTGTTCTCAATGGTCAACCCGTTCCCAGTGAAGTGTTCCCCAGATGATGTATATCGGATGACATCACGAAATCTCATACCTGTGAAAAGACACTATTTCCTACAGTACCACTTCTAAATAAATAAATAAAACCCCGCGCTGCTTTTGTTGTCATGATACTGCAAAGCTGTTGGCCCACTGAGCTTACCCTGAATTGTCATTTTCAATTCTGAAAAATCAAAGAGAACAAGTAAAAGTAATTTATTTGAAACTTGTAAACTGAGCAGTTGTATACTTTGATATCTTCAGTTCAGCATTTCAATTAATACATGTGCGTTAGTCACAGTACTTGCTACTACTTAATGATAAGGAAGCATACTGAGCAGTTTGTGTAATACTCTCAGATATATTAAAGGTGGATTGAACATTAATTCTCTCAGAATTTTGACTATATCCCAAAACACTTTTCAGTCAATGTTGCAATATTCTATCTTGATATCAAAATACTTAAGAAAGCAGACTCCACTGAAATGATCTTAAGCCTAAGGTTTTCTACTGTAAGAAGAGCTTAGCTTCATCTACACTGTTAAATCAAAGTGAAGCCAATCATTGATTTTCCTTAGGGGATCTTTTGAAAACCAAAGTAAATCCAAAGAGATATAGTTCCTCTATGCAGACAAATACGTTGCTTTTATCTTCACTGTCCATGAAACAAGGCTAACGCTACCACAGAAATGACACCAATGAAGGCATAGCCTAAAGCAAAATTAGTGATCAGTGCTAACTTCCATTCCGAAGGTAGGCTTCTTCCTGCCTCTTCCATACTTCTTCCATACTCTCTTTCCTGAATTTGAGCAAACAACAAAGTCAGAAGACTCAAGGAAAGGCTTGCGACCTCCACAAATTCAGGAAGCCTTTCCATTATTCTGCAATATGGTCAGGCTTCTTGCAAAGATGGTAAAATGAAGATCTAGCACAGTAAATGTAGACAGCCCCAGAGCTAGACGTTCAGATGCAAATACTCAAATGCTATGAACAAGAAAACAGCAAGTATTGCTATAGAGGACTCAAAGACCATCAGCCCTTGTACAACTCCCCCTCCCCCTCCCCACACACAAGCTCGTCACAAATTTCCAAAGGAAGATCAGTGGTAGTTGTAAACAGTCTAATTTTTCTTTAAAAGAGCTGCCATTTCACAGACCCTCTGGGAGCCACAAACAAATGGTCAGTGGTTCTTGCAAAAAAGCATTTTAATTCTAGAGCTTAAGTTTAGGTATCCTTGTTTGAAAACAATTGCCTAAGCAGCTATTATATTGTTAGCTTATGATAACCTCAAGAGAATGCACTGCAATTAAGAATTCACGGGTGTATTTTCAGGACAGGGGACTGCAAAAACCTCTGTAATGAAGAATTTAAAAATTAACTTGGTGACTCAAAGTTCAAGATGAAGCTGTCCAATTTATTTTCAGGAATTGGATTTGGTCCAACATTTTTCTAAACTACTTGCACATGGTAATTTGTGATTTCAGCATAGGGAAGATTTATTACACCAGACTATTGATGGTCTGAAACTAAATAATTAATCAAAAATAATTCTTAGTGTTATGATCCTGGTGATAGTGATATGAAACCTTACAGCCCATGAGCAACAGAACTGGTTCAGACTTGATTATGTGAATACTGGGGGGCGAGGGGGGATGCATATAATTGATAGTATACTTATAAGAGCTGCTTTCTTGTCTTAGTTTGTTCACCTCCCTATTTAACTATGTGATTTGTAAGATCTCTTGCAATAGTTGTCATGATACAGGACAGGAAAGTGATGATTCTTTACAAAGTCTGGAAATATTTCAGCACTGTGCATCTTTCTTCTTTTTGCAGATCATGGGAGGAGGAGAGCTACCTGGGCTTTTGGTAAATGAAATAGGAGGAATACATGGGGTACTGCATAGCCCCGTGGAGTTCCTGAAGAAACATTTCTACCTCATCACCATGAAGGAATTTCTTGAAAACAGAATCATGTGAGTAAAAAGGTCCGAGCAATCTATTTGTGGTGACACAAACCAGTCATTGACCAAGAGCTCCTCCAGAGCCTGCCAAACTTAAAAGTGATTGCAAATTCAGGAGCAGGGATGGATCACCTGGATCTGAAACTTATAGCTGGCTTTGGTGTGAAAATGGCTAGTGCGCCACATGCTGTTTCCAGCAGCACAACAGATACTGGGATGGCTTTACTGCTGGCATCTGCTAGAAGATTAGTAGAAGGTAACATTCCAATTCTTCTGTGGATTCTAGAAATCATACAAGATTTACATGCCATTAGCTTGACTTCTTCTAGAGTTATCCTTAGTGCCATAAAATGTGAATATCTAGGTTCCAGAAAAGATGTTGGGGTGCCAAATAGAATGATTGTTATGTTGATATAGTTTATATGTAACATATATTTCAAGCAAGTATAAAATCATATGAGTTTATTTTTCGCAGATCACCAGCTTGGCTTGAAAATATTTGAACAGAATCTCATTACGTTATTTTCAAGTGTAACATTGCACTTTATTGACGGGGCTTGATGTTTTTCTTAGAAGCTGTAATTCATTTTTTTGGAATAAATATGGCTGTAGAATTAACGTTAATAGCCTCAACTGAAGAACACACTGAAGTGTGCTTCCTACATATGAAAGTTTTAAATTCTATGACCTTCTTCAGCAGTGCATTTTTCAGTGACTATGACATTTGGCTCTAAGACGTTTGTTTCTTGATGTGGTAGCATTACAGTGCTATTGACCAAAATTGGTGGAGGGATCACAGTGGTCACAGAAAGACAGAAAAAATTAAAGTGTGGGAGATGTCAATGGAGGAGAATAAGGACATAAGCTGAAAGCTGGGGCTGACAGAGACACGGGCATATTTTCAGGAACTGAAATGCGTTGGTGCAAAACTGATGAATTTAAGGGCCATCAGAGACAGGGTGCTGCAGTTTCTCCTAATAGCATCCTTTCTAGTTTGCTCCACACATTTTTCTTGGCCTTTCTGCAAATAGATTGCCTTTCCTTCACCAGCAGTAAAATAGGCTTCTTAGCAGCTCAAAGGAGAGAGGCTTGTCTCCCCCAAATCTGTTTCTGCTGCACGAGGAGGAGATGGATTAAAAAGGAGATTAATGATTGCTTCTATCTATGTGAATTTCTGATAGCTCTGCTTTGACATGACTGAGTTTTATCCTGAGGCATTTTTGTTGTTTTCACAATATTCTGCTTATGTTTTAGAAGGGCTGACAATATCAGATAGAATATTTTTCTTTAGAGGGCTGAAATATCAGAAGCTCTCACCTTGCTGGCAGGTTAATAAGCAGTGTGTCTCTGTGCATGTAAGCTCATTTTCTGCATTGAGCAGAAATACAAAATTTTGCAGGTTTAACAGATAATCTAGGGAAATTACTGGGTAGTGATTTTAAAAGAAGACACACTCTCTCTTCCAGTTAGAATGGCAGAGGTGAACAGGCAACCTCTTCTTATTCTGAACAGCAACACAAACATCTGGCATTATTCTTCACAAGCATTTCCAAACCCTGCTGCAGTTTTACTGGTGATAATTACTTTGATTATTGTTGCAAAACAGGACAACAATTTTATGAGTGCAGAGCGGTAAAAGGATCTGCAGGGGGGATGTCATCAAAAGCTTTTTGGTAGCATGGTGGAAATAAATGAGGCATGTCACATGCACAGCAAGGAAAGACAATATATTCAAGAGCCACCTAGGACATTACAAAAATCACTGCTATCTAAAACAATGTGCTTGTAATTGTTAAACGTATGAACGTGTGTTATAGTCACATCTCAAGGCCCCGTTCTCTTGCCTTGTTCCTCTGTGTCGGACCCAGTCCATTTCTCATATTGGAACATTTCTCTTGTAGGCTGTCATGTTGCGGTTTCTCCAGGTACGGAGTACTGTGAAGTCGACTTTCTGGGAGTTAAAGTTACCAGAGCTACTCTGGGGATCATTGGAATGGGCAGCATTGGGTATAAGATTGCTCTGAGAGCCGAAGCATTTCAAATGAATATTTTGTACCACAACTGGACACGGAGGTAAAGATATGTCTTGACCCTAACTAGAGCAGAAACTCCCTTTCAGACGGTCAGCATTTCCCTTTTCTTTTCAAGAAAATGTTTCAGCATAATTCCTGCAAGAATTGAGAGAATATGGCCAAGACTGAAACAAAAGAAAAAAAGACCAGTTGCCTCAGATCAGTTTTGTAAGGCATTATTTGGTGATTAAACAATACTTGGAGACTTAATCTAGGCTTAATATTAGAAATTCCATGGTTTCCTGGTGATGTGACCAGAAGAAGAAAAATACAGCTTATAGCTTTTTATTCTTATTATATCTTACTATAGTGACACCTAACACTATCTTTTATTTTTTCCCCCAAACATCTCAAAGTTCAGGAGGGACCTTGTTGAAACTGAGTGACTGGAGAACTAGAAAGTGTATACTTAGCAAAATATGAAAAGTGATGAAGGAATTAGAGCTGTTTCCCGGGGGGGGGGTGTCTCTTTAAGCTAGTAGGTGTTTTGCCAAATATTTCCCTGGAGTCCGCATTTCACCTTTTGTTTCTAGTGTCTTTTAACTCGCATATCTGGGAAAGTGATCTTTCTTAGAGACTCAGCACAAGAGCTCTTCAGTGCAAAGGTGAGAGAGAGCCTAGAGTACAAACCGAGACCCCTGAAACCACCACTGCAAGCAGGTTGGATGCAGCCAACAAGCGGAGCAAATGTTTACTGCTGTAAACCATGATCTACACTGAGACTTTACTCCTCCCTGGTACTGAGAGAAGCTGCAGTGTGAGTACATGTTGCTTTTAGTGATTTGCTCCACACGTGGACTGTAGTAGCAGGGTTACTGCTCTAGCTAGCTCTAACCAAATCACCAGGGTAGATGAGGCCAAAAATAAGTAGCCTTACCTGGCATTCCTCAGAAATTATGAAAACAGCTGAACAAATTCAGGTACAAAAAAGTACAAAAAAAAAAAAAACTCCTTAAGATCTTTCATGCTTTCTTTATATACCACAAAGGAGAGGAAATAAGGCACAAATCCCATTAGTTTCTTCTGTTGGTTATCACTAACTCCGTCTCATTTTTTTCAGTCTTTTAAATAGTATTGATGTAAAAGAGTGCTGTGGTGAATAATCAATGCACAGTGCAATAGAAAGGAAAAACATGATTATTTTAAAGTATGTTTATACATTAAGTTTATCTGAGTATTCAGACTTTCCATGCTGTAAAACTGGCTGTAATTCCATTCTGTTCTTTGTTCACTTAGGCCCTGGTTGGTGAACCCTGGACCCTGTAAGAAAATAATTAATGTTTTAGCAGATACATGTTCCAAAGTGACACTGAAGTTATTTTCATAGTGTGACTTCTTTCCTTTTTTCTACTTTAGGGGAAGATAATTCGAAAGCCATTCTCTGGGATTCAGGGGAAAAAAAAAGATTGTACTGATTTTTATCCCCCTCTCCTGTGAGTGCTTCTTTAGTTCTCAAAGTTTAGGTAGCTAGGTTTAAAAACAATAAGAGAAATGGCCACAATTCTTTTTTACGGCGAAGAGTTCAAACTAAAAGTCTCTCTCTACTTTGGTAACTTTTTGTGTTGAGCACTTTATTATGTGTAAGCTTGGAAGCAGCCCGGAGTGGCCCGAAGCTGCCAGAGAAGTGGCCTCGCTGGTTCCACCCCTGGCAAAACGGCAGCCTGGCTGGAGGGTGCCAGTGCCCTGTGGGCCACTGGCGGAGTCTCTCTCAGAGCGCATGCAGATGAGTTTTGGTGACCCTCAGTGCTCCAGTTTAAGCCATTACTGCACCCTATGAGGTGCACCTTCCCTGTGGGGACCCTGGAGGAGAGACTATGTCTCACATCTGCTCCAGTGCTTGGCTTCAATCCACTTGCAGAGGTAAAATAAGGCGCTGGGCTTTGCTCTGCAGCAGCTGAGAGGCAGGCAGGCCGTCCAGTCTCTTCTGTGGCACTTGCTTGTGACAATCCTAGCCTTTAGTTTGTGCACCAGTGACACTGTGAAAGAAAGTAACATTCCCAAGACCGCCTGCCTGAAATACAGTGTGATCCTTTTTTTCCCCATCAGGAAAGAGCATGAGGAGCAACTTGTCGGTGCCATCTATTGTGAAAAGATAGACAACTTGCTCCAGCAGTCAGGTCTTGTGATGGGGGTGGTGAGCCTGACACCTCAGAGGCACAAGCTGATTGGGAAAAGAGAGCTGAAGCTGATGAAACCCACGGCTACTCTTATTAACATCAGCGGAGGTAACATCCCTAGCTGCTCTGACTGCAGAATATGAGCCAGCTCCTGTTGCGCTGCATGCAGTACCAAGCGGCGTGAACTGCACAGCTGGTGAATATACAGACCTGCCACGGAAAACAAAAATCCTCCCTCTCCCTTTCTTTCCCCTTTTCTCTCTGAAATTGTTGCCTGCAAACGGCACTCCGAGACATTCCTAGTCCAACGTAAGGGCAGTAGTTGACCAAGAGGCGCTGGTGAGAGCTCTGCAGGCCGGTGCTATCGGGGCCGCAGCTGTGGACGTCACCTACCCGGAGCCGCTGCCCGGGTTGCCATCTGCAGTCGTTGCTCAGAAATATTCCCGTGACAGCGCCCCAAGCCCTGCGAGAGGCCCGACGGGCAGGGAGGTGGCCGCCCCCCCCCCGCCGGGTTGCACGTCTGGCTGAGGGTGCTGTGCATGCGAATGGGAGGCAGCTCAGACCCTGGGGGCGATGACAGGCCCGAGGGAAAGCGGGCGCCAGGGAAAACAGCAGGAGGGTCACGTACGCCAAGGCAAGCGTTAAGTCCCCGCCGCAGAATCACAATATGAAGCGGCAGCGGTGCTTCACGGACAAATCTCGTCATCGGAAGGGAGGACACAAGAGCCTGAATGGGGGGAAGAAGCTGCCTGAGTCGCCACTCCTCAGCCCCACCGCCTTGTCCCAGGCGTCCCTCACCCTCCCCGCAGGCTTGTTTCCCCAAAACAAGGCTCTTGATGGCTGAAGTGCTGCAGATCTCTCTAATTGCAGAGGCAGTTTAGCGTCTAAAAAAAATAAGAAAGGCTCATCTGACAAAACGATACCTCACAGAGTAAACTGTGCTGGCTGGTTTTGGGGTGGGGGCAGCTCAGGCTTGTTAGGTCAGCAGGCCAGGGACATTGCTGTCCATTATCTGAGCCACATAAACAAAGCTCAGGCGATTGTGTAGGGCTAATGCTTCAGGGGCGCGTAATCCCCTCTTCTGACGTGGTGCAAATTGCTGCCTAAGGGCAAAATACTGTTTCTGGTCTTTGACAAAAGAGCACGGTATAAACTCTTAGCATATCCTTTTCATGTCCCAGAATTACTTGAATGCAGTTCATCAGTGCCCGTTAAGCATATGATCAGTTCCCCAGATATGAGTAGGACTTAAGTAGAGTTATATTAAATGAACTACATATTTAAATACAATGCAAAAGCCAAAGCCAAAGCCAAACTCTTCATTTTCATGAATAACAGTAGGTAACTTAAATATACATTTTTTTTTTCTTCCAGGGATCATCCATTATTACAATTAAAGAATGTTATTATAACACCCCACCTTGGCATTAAAACAGAGAAGGCCACCCGCATGATAACAGAGGAAGCAGTTGAAAGCATCCTAGCAGCAGTTAATGGTCTCCCTATACCCAGTGAAGTGCTCCCAAGCTGATGTGCAAAAGGATATCACAGCTCTAAATGCTTTTATTCTCCTGTTTTCCCCACTGAGAGTGACCTATTCCAAGCAAGCAGGGAAAGTTTGACTGAGTTATTTGACTGAGATGTTATTAAACAGAAAACTTTAAATTTTAAAGTGGCTCTGATTGCCAAGGCACTTCCAGTTCATGCTAGGCTCCCTAGAAAGCATGAAGTGGGGCTGTTACATGTTTTCCAGTGTGTTAATTTGCCTACTTCAAGGTGGGGACAACAGGTCTACTCCGTTGAAACCTAACTTACCTTCTTAATTATTATGTTAAAAATGGATTCAAACATTAGCTTTTCTGGATGACAGATCTTCAAAATTAGCACTCCAGTGGACTTGTCATTTTAAAGGTGGAACCGCACTGTCATTAGGTAAGAGAAAATGTCTCCACATTCCGTACTAGCCTTGGAGAGCTTCAGAAATAGCACTGCAATCTAAGGAAAATAGTTAATGGGAAAGGGAAAATAATGATTCTTAAAATGTCATCAGCCAATTTTTTACAGCAGTCCTTAAGAAGAAGTCTTTTTGAATTACATAACTCACTCTGTTCCCATTCTGTTAGATATCAAAAACAACAAAGTAAGCTACTAGGCTAGAAATACTGACCTTCTGTATGGAAGTCTTCATTTAAACTAGCTTCTGAGACAAAATGCAGGGGAAAAGTCCATTTAGGTTTCAGGAATTTACTCAGAACCACTTATACAAGACAGGATTTTAGCAGCACTAGCAAAAAACAGACTTCAAGATGAACATGCTGCCATGTTACATCATGTTTATTTGTAGTCTACCCTTCTGATTTTTCAATTTAGTGCAAAATATTTGGAAGACTATTTGGAATCCTGTAAGCTTCTTACGCTATTCTGTGCACAAAAAATCTATAACATTCCAAATATATAAGCCATTCCTGCGCACCACTTCTTCTAGCAATTCACAAAAACAAATAAATTTGGAACAAGATATAACAGAGAGTTTCACTATTATAACAAGAAAAAAATAACTTGACAAATCGTTTTCATTATTGTTTTCATTACTGCAAGTATTATTATGGAGTATTAAGAGCAAAATTCTGTGGCTTTTCTTCACTAGAAATGGTACCTATATTACAATTACGCATTCACATTCTACAGGAAAAGGATCTCTTTAAACAGAAAAACACTCACCCACTTCACTAAAGCCTTTTAGGAAAATAGATCTTTATGTTGGGTTAATGTATTCTGTTGTCTTAATAGAAATCCAAAATGCTAATAAGTTATCAATGCACAATTCAAAGTGGCAGTGCTGTGCATTCTATTATGTAGTATCACTCTTATGATCAGTACAATTATTTGACCTCTCAGCAAATTAATAGAAAAATTCCCATTAATTACAGCTAGGATTTTGCCAGTGCTGTTATATATATATTTACAAAGCCATTTCTACTTCCAGCTTCTTGCAGAAGGTTGTCAATGGTGCTTGCCAAGACACACTTCCTTCCACCAACTTAACATATGACAATGTTACCAACACTTACAGCTCAGGGAAACCAAGACATTGCAGCTTTTCTGGAAGAGCAAGTTGGCTGACAAGAATTTCATGGACCTTTTACATAGACTGACTCCCTGTTCTCTGAGATAGAGGCACCCAGCATCCCTTTGACTGTCACCTGTAAAACCTTAACAAAAAAGTCAAGCTTATGCTTTCAAAATAAAAAGCTGAGCAATAAATTACAGTTTAAAACAAAGCTACAAGAATCTAAAATAACGTGGTTTCCAGTGAGAAAAAATACCTTTTATTAGACTAACATCATAAAACTGGAAAAAAAACCAGACAAGCTTTTGCACGTACAAGCTTTTCTCTAGATGTGAAGCAGAAGCAACAAACTTCAAAGCAGGTAGATTACTTAATTTCACCACTGCATAAAACAACAAAACATGCTTGGCATTTGCCTGGAGTTTTACCTCTGTTCTTGTAGACATTTCAAGAATCTGGGCCAATTTGCTATAAAAATGCTCCGTGCCAGAGTGTTACTTTAGACACAAAGACACTAGACAACGCTAGACAACAGGACACCAGTAAGTTATTGGGACTAAGGGTTCGATTCACACGCAACACCTAACTCCCCAGTATTGCCTTACAGGTTATAAATCGCGACCTAAAGCACAGCTTATCAAAATGTCTCCAGGAAGCAACTTACTCTGCTTTCAAACTACACAGCAAAAATGATCCATTGTTTCCTGTTGTTCCTTTATCTAGGAATATTTATTGAACAGTATCAGATTAGCTGATGTGTAGTTCAAGACACCTTCCTGTGCTTTTTAGATGCTGTTTCACGTCTCTGTTATCCTATTTAAATTGTGGTTGGAAGAGAAAGAACATCTAACCTTAAGATCACTAAAAATGGATCAAAAAATACAGTGGCCACATGATGCAAAGAGCCAATCCATTATAGCTTACTCTGTTGGTTCAGATTTGTTCAAAACATTTTGATGGGTGAACAGTACGTGATCTAGCACAAAATGCTGCTGTAATTGTCTACCGGGAAAGCAGGCCTTACCTAAGGCACTCAGACAGATTAGTGATAACACTCGATGATAGTTTAGAGTTAGTGAAAACGCACACATTGCTTGGGTTGGCCTTCCCCGAGACAAACTCACGTGAATATAGATTTCCTGCCTCTGGTTTGCTGTTCTGTCTATGAATCCTGGTTGCATCTAACATTGCTTTCAGCATAGACATAGGAGGTGAATGTCCTTCTCCAATTTCATAGTTCAGCTAGTATGGAGTTCATGAACTGTGCAATACTTCTCTTCCCGTACCCATAGTTATTATTAGTTCTAGAGAACTTTGTCACAACACTAGTATAATTCATCTCCTCAAAATACCACTAATGAAAACTAACAGCACATAGCAAGCAATATTAAACATTTCAACTTAAAACACTTCATAGCTATCTATGAGGTACTTTGCAAATTAAAACTACTTGGAACATATTAGTGCACTACTCTCTTTTTTTATCTTAGCTTAGCTTTAGCCTTATGGTGTCTGTTGTTGGAGCGCTACCCACAATTACTATGCTCAGTGATATCCTCTGTCCTGGTGATTCAAATAGCTGTCCAGTCATTCAAAATATAAATGATTTCTTGATCTCTTCCATCACATGTTTTGCTACACAGATGTATCTCCTATACAGATGTACCAACTCCTGAAGCACAATCTGAAAATTCAATGTTCAGGTTATGCAAGAAAACTTGGAAGCCATGAGATTCTCTCCATAACTGCAACCATTTTCTTGACCTTTGATATATGCATCCTGGATTTATGCTTAAAAAAGAGTAACACTCATTTGACTTATTTTTGGCTACTCTTTGACTGATTGCTGCTTCATTTTGTTGATTTGATATTTAAAGGAGAAAGCTACTGTACAACAGAACAGTTCATGAGTGTTTTATACAAAGAGCTGGAAACAGCGTTTTGGACTGGTAGGAAACTTGTAAAGGGCTTCAGGCTGTCCAGTGATCTTGGAACAGATTTGCAGATTTCGGTTTTGGGGGTTTCTGTTTGTCTGCTTTTGTCTCTGTGATCTCTTGCCAAAGTTCTTTTTTATGTTCACTACTAAAATGTAGTAAACTTCCTTCATAGATTCATAGCTAGAGTGATTGTCTCTTTATTGGGAGCTCTTCAATGGTCCTTTGATCTCAGGTATTGTTACGAAAGCAGAAGTTAAAAGATCACACATTATGTCTCATCAGGCAAACTTGGAAGCAGTTGATGTGAAACAGGTAATGTGTAAGCACTTTTAGTTTTGTTGCTTTATTTTAAAAAGAAAATACAGATGCCTTAAATTCAATTAAGAATTCAGTTAATTTGTTCTAACTCTAGTTAGCTAATTTTCGGTTTAAAGTTTAACGGTGTGACTTTAAAATCCATTTAAATGAATGATACTCAAAAGACATCGATAACAATGTATGTTTTTTTGTATAATTATTACAACATTTCATTATGCTTTATTTTTTGTAGTTATTTTATAGAGAACTTGATCTTGAACTTGATAGTCCTGCTGTTGAGCAAATCAAGGTCTGTTTGGCAGAATTCAAGATGGGGATTAAATAGGTAAAATATGATTTATACTCCAGTCTCTTGCAAACTACCACACTAGATAGCCAGCAACTGCAAAATGCTGTGTTTCTCCTACGTCTCCGCTTGGAAGGAGACAAGTCCCCTGGCCTCACGCAGAAGTGGTGTTTTCAGGCTCCTCAGTTCCTTTCACTAAAGAAGTCGGGCAACCCACCGAGTGGCTGCTGACCACCTGCACAGGGGGGGAATCACTGTAGTTAGTATAGGCTTGGCGAACAAACTACTAAAACAGCACTTGGCAGCCTCCGTGACTGTGATGGGATTTACAGTGCGAGTAACCTTGGCAGGAAAGCCTTCAAGCAGCCGTCAGCTGGCATAGGCACAGGACTGCCTGCAACTGGGATAACAGCAGCAGTACCCGACCACTGCAGCCGCCCCAGTCGCTTAGATCTCAGTGGAAGATGGGTATTGAGGGTATGTGTGCCAGGACGACAGTTACTGGTGTCTGCGGATCAAAGATAACTCCTTATGCCACATTAATCCACATACTTTATGGCCAGAAAGAGAGCTAAAAAGCCCCAGGAAGGCCGGCTCGCTCCCTGCCACGGGGCCAGCGCGGCGGCGAGGACCCTCACGGCGAGGCGGCGTCCCCGCT